CTGTCTGATTTGTTGTGCAGTAAGTGCAGGGTGGGTTATATTATCCATTTTATTCAGGTTCGAAGCGGTTGGAAATAAAAGAAGGGAGCAAAAATAAGACCTATGATGGGACAGTTCAACAGGGACTGAGAGGCATCATCCTGCTGTTGACATCTGTCCAGTCATGATTTGGATGGCCTACCTTAGATACTACAGATACATTAGAGGAAAAAGGCTGTAACTAATTTTATGTCTGAACTTATTTAGAACTGCTCTAGTCATGCTACAAAATGAAGGCTGATCTGTTTGTTTTTCAGATCAGCTAAACTGTTCATGAGCGCTGGCAGCAGTGAAGAAGATATAGACGACATTATTGATGAAATCTGTAATGAGAGCAGCTTTGCCAAAACACCTCTGGTGAGTAGGAGTGCAGAGAAATGCAGAGTGGGTGAGCTTCAAAGATGGAAAGAAAAACACCATAAACTAGAACTGTTTTAAAGCAAAAACTGGATGAAAACAAGCTGTAGGATAAACTTGGAAAGTAAAGCAGAAAGGAAAATGCAACAATCCTATAGTGAGGAACAGGAGAGATATAAAAAGATGGTGTTACCTAGTTAGTAACAGGCAATTAGAGGAAATGCTAGTTCAAGGTAGAGCATAGTGTCACATACCACAGAATCATGGAGTGGTTGAGGCTGGCAGGACCTCGGGAGGTCCTCTGGTCCAACCCCCTGCTCAAGCAGGGCTACCTAGAGCTGGTTGCCCAGGACCATGACCAGATGGCTTCTGAATATCTCCAAGGATGGAGACTCTACAGCCTCTCTAAGTAAGCTGTTCCAGTGTTTGACCACCCTCACAAGAGTTAAAGAATTTTTTTTCATGTGTTTAACTGGAATTTGTTGTATTTCAATTTCTGCCCATTGCCTCTGTATTTCAGTTTGTGCCCATTGCCTCTTCTCCTGTCAGTGGGCCCCACTGAGAAGAGTCTGGCTACATCTTCCTTATTTTTCCCCATCATGCATTTATGTACATTGATAAGATTGTCCTGACCCTTGTCTTCTCCAGGCTAAATGATGCCAGCTCTCTTAGCTTCTACCTGTATGTCAGAAGGTCTAAGTCCTTAATCACCATTATGTCCATCTCTCTTTTGCACTGGGCACTGCACTGCAGACACGTCTATAAGCCCATATCTATAGTACTATGTCCAGTTTTGGGCTCCCCGGTACAAGAGAGAGATGGAGCTACTGGAAAGACTCCGGCAAAGGGCCATGGAGATGATGAAGAGTCTGGAGTATCTTCCATATGAGGAAGGGCTGAGAAAGCTGGGACTGTTCAGCCTGGAGAAGAGAAGGCTCCAGGGGGAACTTATCAACATGTGTAAATACCTGATGGGGGGAGTAGAGAAGGGGCCCGACTCTTCTCTGTCGTGCTCAGTGACAGGACAAGAGGCCGTGGGCACAAACTGAAACACGTGAAATTCCATCTGTACACAAGAAAACACTTTTTTTACTGCGAAAGTGCTCAGACACTGGGGCAGGCTGTCCAGAGAGGTTGTGGAGTCTCCGTCTGTGGAGATTTTCAAAACCCAGCTGGACGCAGTCCTGGGCAAGTTGCTGAAGCTGACCCTGCTTTCAGCAGGGGCGTTAGCCTAGATGGTCTCAAGAGGTCCCTTCCAACCGAAATGATTCTGTGATTCTGTCTCACCAGTGCTGCGTAGAGAGGAAAGATTGCCTCCCTCAGCCTGCTGGCAATGTCCCTCCTAATGTAGCCCAGGATGCTGTTGGCCGCCTGTGCTGTAAGGGCACACTGCTGGCTCATGATCGACTTATCATCAACCGAATTTCCCACGGCCTTTTCTGCAAAGCTGCTTTCCAGCTGGTCAGCCCTCAGTGTGTTCTGGTGCGTGAGGGTTATTCCTCCCCAGGAGGAGGAGTTTGCATTTCTCCTTAGCAGAATCTCAGCCCATTTCTGCAGTCTGTTGAGGTCCCTCTGAAGGGCAGCGCAGTCATCTGGCACACCAACTACTGCTCCCTGTTTTCTACCATCTGCAAATGACTCATTTGACAGCAGGAGGTGGAGATGAAGCTGCAAATTTGCATTGTCAAGACAGTCAGTGTGACAGAAGACATTAAAATATATATTCATTTAGATATCATCAGTAGAAGATTGTGTTATTTATACTTCATAACGCCCTGTGCAGATTCTCTTCTTTTGATGAATGATGTTGGTTTTGCTTTGTTTGTCTTTGATCTCTGACAGAGTGGCTAAATCTGAACCAACAAAACCCACTTGTATACCACAATACCTGTGTCTGAGTGAGAGAGAATTATGTCAGTGAATTTGTATAATTTTGTCATTTTATATCCCTAGGACTTCCTATTTAGGATCTAGAATTCTAGTATTCTAGAATTCAGATAACCTGGTTTATCTGCCGCAAATAAGAAACTTTTCAAAGACACTTTACCTTTTTGAATAATAGAAGTCCTTGATGTGTTTTCAGTAAAACAAAAGCTCAAAAACACTGAGGGACAAGGTTCCTAAGTTAAAACTGGTTTTATAAGCATAATTATTAAAAAGAGGGCATGAAATACGAAGTCTTGATTGTAAAGTCAAAGTGATAATGTGGTGTTGGATTCCTTCAGGCAGAGCTGGGAATTCGGTATGGGAGGAGAAGCCTCGTTCCTCATTTATCTGTTACTTCAGCAGCTTTTGTCTCAAAGAGCCTCACAGAAACCTGAGCAAGAAAATTCCCAAGGTCTTAGTCTCTTCTTTTGTGACTGAGATTTTCTGGCTCCTGCTAATTAAGTAAAACAGAATATCACTATTTTGCTGTAATGCTACCTTTTATTCTTTGATGGCTTTTTAAATAGAAATTGAAGTCTAACTCTGCAAGTCACACACCTGAAAGCAATAGTGTTGTTGGACAGGCTTATACGAAAAGGTAAGTGAAAAATGTTTTGGCTAGTTGCATGTAGTTGATTACAGGTTGTTGTCAGTTGAATAATATTGCTACTGTTTAATCTGTGTTGACATTAAGGAAGAAATAGAGTATTCAGAGAAGCATTCTTTTTAAAGAAGAACAAAGATAAAGAGATCATTTTAAAGAATGACTAATGTGTTTTGATGTGATCAAAAATATTTATTATAAATTTAATAATTATTTAAGTTATTGAACAACGCTTCCTTTGCCTTATGGACATATACATTTATCAAATATTGCAATAAATAGCCGATATATATTTGATGTAGAGAATGGTTGTGGTACAGTTTTTCTGTGAACACCTTGGTACTGGAAATTTTAAAATTCTATAGTTTGTAAGCATTTGGATGCTTTGCCTATATTTAATAAATTATTTTATATTTTATAAAATTATGATTTTATGTTTTATGAATTATTTTAGAAATATCATGCTGTTAAACTAGGACAAGCATTGTACTACTTTCTCCAAAGTGTTTTGCCATAATTTAATATTTTTTGATGAAATTGATATAGATGCTGTCCAGTGTACCTGGGTGGAAGTTCTTCAGCATATGGAATAGGAACAAATATTTCAAAAAGGTAGGAAATGAGAAAAAAAGTTCTACTTGCTTTATCGTTATTTTTATTCACAGCTGTATTTCCAGAGTTCTGCGTTTGATCTCGCCAGGACAGCCCTATATTCATCTAAACACGTGGTTGCCTGTAACTGCAGTGGAACTCAGCTGGTCCCTTCCAGTATTCTGTTGTTGACCACTAGATCTGTTGTTCGTTTGAGGAGTCAAAAGCTGTGTGCAAATGAGACACGAGACTCCAAAAATCAAAAGCAGGTGGTTAAGGAAGTTGCTACTGTAGAGTACTGTTATTTTTCCGTGCCTCTCTTCAGCTTTCTATGTGATGCCGAGTATGTCACTTCAATCAGTGGGCTGGTTTAAATCATCCCGGAGTCTGAACGAAAGTAGCCGGAGTGCTTTGCAGCTGCAGATGAACTTAGTAGGAGAGGTATTTTAAAGATTTATCCCCAACATCCTATAGAAGATGATTACATTTCCATATGGGATTTTTTGTAGTAAGTAATTATGCACTTCATGCATATTTGGATGCTGGTCAGGTGCCATACCAAGTGAAGAGGACTAAGGAGAATATATCAAGATAATACCTGTTTATTTTATGTGTTCAGTGAGGTTAGGAACCTGTAGAAATAATACATGATCATATAGTTAAAACACATACCATTATGAATGGGACAGAGATGTAAAATAATAATATTCCAGAGTAACCTTGCTTCTGGTATTTCTGAGTGAGCGCTGTACTTTAAGACTATTACAAACTGTGTAGTTTCTCTGATTTTATTAAGCTCTTGGAGCTTTCTGTTCTTTTTTGACCAGAACATGTGATCAACTACGTTGTACTGCTTGCGACTTCCGTGTGTCACTTTTCAACGACTACATCTGGGATCAGTCCTGTGATTATCTTTTTTTCAGGTATGTCTGAGACGGGTTTGGTATTAACATTGTGTTACTGTGCTTTGGGGCTTGATAGGAGCAGGAAAGATGATAAGTCCTGAGCGCTCCTCTGTTACCTAAAAAGGAGCATGTATGCAACCTGTTCGGGGATCAGGTGGGAAAGTCTACGAGGAAAGGGATGCAACATCTCCCATAACCTGTTTTCATGCCTTTCCATTTCTTCCCCCATCACTCGCTCTCTCTGCTTTTATAAAGGATTCAAGTTTCATGAAAGAAAAAGCAACTTTAGTGCTGAAATAAGCAGATAATCTGTGTGATGGGTTGGCCTCTGGCATGCTGCTGCAGGTTGCAGCGTGTACTTCTCACTACACCTTCAGTCATACAGACTGTGATTGTTTCAAGTCTTTTTTTTTTCCAGTATCAAGTATTAAGCTGTCACGTTCAGTGAAAATCCAATAGTTTGATTTCTGAACTGACTTCTTTTTGAAGCAAGGTTTGATTAAATGGAGGGATGAGATTTTTGTTTTCTTATTACATTGTGATGTCTTTGACTTTAATAATTTCTAATTTTTTTAAAGACTTAACATTGAGTTCTTATTTCCAGTTTCTCTAAAATGGTATCTAATGCCAAGACTTAGTGGATGGTAGTGTAGTAGGCATGCTGCTAATACAGACAATAAATATGGATTTGTCTTATTTTAGTAAAGTGTCTGTATGTGCCCGTTGACTGATGGAGGTAGTGGATGTGGTCACAGTATGTGCTTGGCCACCAGGGGGTGAGACAGCTGGAGTAGAACAGAAATGGAGAAATCATCTCCTTTTCCATTATTTTTCTTGTATTACACGTTAGGATTTTCCTGTATTTTCCTTCCAGTTTTGAAATTTGTATTGCGCTCTGAACGCAAATCTCATTTCCCCAATATTTAAGGCAGCATTAAAAATACAGTGCTGCACTAGTCTCTGAGATGAGTTTGGTTAGCTAGAAAGGTTAATAAAAATATGATTCTTTGATTTACTAAAAGTCTAAATTATTCTGCTTCTGAGATCTTGAAATTAATAAAATTAAAAAAAAATACATGAAAGACATTAGTATCAGATGCTTGTAACATTGGTTAAAATCTGTAATCTTTAGCAAGATATTTAGCTATGTATTTTGGCTAACCTGAATTTTAAAAAGCAAACTTGAAGATTAAACATTTGCCTTCCATGAACAGATGTGTGACCTCTTTTTCTAAAAATTCTCCATTTGATATTTCTTTTGGATTTTCTTGATTTAGCTGGGCTTGTTAATGTTTTTGAGCAATTCAGTGGCCAGTAATTGGTGGTTAGGAGGAGGTGATGAGAGCAGGGCTAGTTAAAATGCTAAATTTTCACTCATTTTTTGAAACAACTTGTTTTTGTAATAGCCATGCTGATTTTTCATTTGTTGGTGTTGATGCTCTCACAGGAATTATTTGTGGTTTGATGTACATTCTTCTCTTTTATTGCCATTTCATTTCACTCACCTTAACAACCATCTTGAGTAACAGTTCCTGATGAAAAGTTTAACTCTGTCATTGTACCCATTCTTTACAGGGATTTTTACATTAAGTTTGATAAGATAAATACAGTTATGGATAATTTCTTAAGACAAAAATTAACTGTAACAGGTTTTCTTCCCAACTCTTTCTCTGGAGGCTGACCCAGGGCCTCTGAACCTGACAGAGAACATTGCTTACAAAACTGTCAATGTCCAGTTGATCTGAGAATACAGCAACTACGCACCAAGACTGCTCTCAGGAAAGGGTTGTGTTCAAAACAGAATTTAAACATATCCCTAAATTCATTCGTGACAGTGGTACACAGAAATGTTCTTAAGAGCTTTTATGAATTGAAATGGCCTCATGAATCTTTTTTTTCTTTAAAAAAAAATGCATGATCCTAAACTGAATTCACTTGATTGGCAGGAATAACATGCCTGAGCTCAGTAAGCTAAGAGCAAAGATGATAAAGAAGAAAGGAGCACGAGCATATGCTTGTCAGTGCAGCTGGAGATCCATTGGTGAATTAACTGACCTCCAAACAGACCAGCAGCTTCGGTGGGTTTGTGGTAAACATGCAGAATGAAGTCCTTTTGTGTGTGGTACCTACTTGTGTGGAAACAATAGGTCATAAACCCAGTTTGTTTCCCACACAGTTGTCTGAGAATAGATGAAAACCTGAATACTTATATCTAGAAATAGATTATAACACCCAGACTTCAACCGGAAAACTTTTTTTTTATTTAACTGTCTTGTAAGCAATATGGGGAGTTGAATTGTTAGAAGAAACAACCAATTTGGAGACTTTCTGGAAGCTAAGTGAGATTAAAGCTCATACTCAGTAGTGTTAAAGAAAGGAAGAGGAAATGGACAGATTCAGGCGTGGGGCAAAGCACCATGAGACTGTTCCTCATGTCTAGCAGAGAGCCTTATTTCCCATGTCTGCAAAATCTTGGACTCAAAATGGTGGGTTGGGATTCAGCCATGACACACAAGTGTATGAATTTCTGCATGGAAATTAATACTGCTGTTCTGCTTTGCTCATAGCTGTTAATGAGCAAGTGGTTGTAGATGTCTTAAAAAAGTACTGCGAGATCAGCTCTCACCTCGAAGGTTTCAGCACACCCCAAAACTTTACTTTCTTTTACCAACCAGTAGCCAAAAACTGCAGGTGCTGGAAATTTCCTTCCAGTTCCTACTGCTTTCTTCAAAGCACTTTCTGCTGACTAAAGACTTTTACCACAGTGAATTTCTTGGACTTCCCTACAGCCTTCACTGCAAGAGATGAACAACTTACTGTGCAATTATTAAATATTGTGCAATTATAAAGAGCTTCTAAAGAGTGTATAACTTTATCAATATTTTCAAGGGAAAAAAGGCTGAGGCTTTTAAGAGTGAGAAAATATATATCCCCACTGACGTTCAAATTTGGATTTTTTTCAATTTCACTTAGCTTTCACTTCAGCTTCACTTCAAAGTGCTACATATTCAGAAAGTGTAACTGCTGTTTCAACACACTCGCTTTCCCCAGTAACATCGTAAAACTTCTTCCAGTATCATGTTACTTCGTGAATTGTCGTGATTACGGTTAATGTCACTATAGTTTATGAGCTCTTTCTTTTCATTACGTGTAAATAACACAGGAGATGGATTTGGGGTTTGGGCAGGCAGAGAGGAAGGAAAGGATTACCAGTTCTGGCAATTGCTACACTGAAAAGTGTCTCAGAATGGGAAGTCTGTCAGTATTTTTGCTGTGCAGTATGTGATACTGTACAGATAAATTCAAAATTACTTAATTTGTGCAGTTCTATACAGAGCAATTTCTTTTTTTGTGATGTTTTGCTCATGGCCCTACTCTGTGCATTGTCAGTCTGTTCTTTTTCTGAGTTTCAACTGCTAAAGTCTAAAACCGCAGGTTCAGGAGACAGAGAGACCCAGATACCAGCTGATGAGTGCTCTGTCAGCTGCTGGAAGAGGTCTGCTTGCCTTTCTGTCCTTTGTGAAGAGAGAGCCCCCGGTGCAGACTGTAAGCAGTAAGTGTTTCTGGGTGTTCTTCATCTCGACCTGAGCGATTTCCATTCCCAGAGAACACCAGTGCTAATGTTAAGAGAAGAACCCAGCAGTAATACCTAATTTATTAACAAGTTCTAGAGAAGAATAAACCTACTTTCCATTCTTCTTCTGGAAGAAGAATGTATTTCAAAAAGTGCTGAGGTGCCTTGGCTTGCCTGTTCAAGGCCATTTGAAACTGGTGACCAAGCAGCCCCACAGGAAGCTCTTTTGGCCTGGATTTGCACTGGAGCTTGTGTCACAACGTAAGGAACAAGTTAGGCTTGCAACTTGTGAGCAGGAAACAGGGAAAATCCTAGCACCCATCTCAGTTCATTAGACCAAGTCTTAAGTGACTTGGAAAAGGAGCATGTCTCCTGTACCCTGTTTTAAACAAACCAACAGGAATAGTCACCCCCTCTGGAACAGTTTGTGTTACCAAGTGTGTGGAGCAAATCGTGTGGAAACCAAAGTTCAAGACATCCGTTCTAGTGATTTTTATGGCAAGAAGACAGCCTGCAGCACTTGATAAGTGGAGGCTAGGAAGGAATTGAGACAAAGGGACTAAGAGTGTAGGAGAAGTAAAAAGGATTAACACCAATATCTGTTGACAGCAGCAGTCAGCATTTCTCCTAGGTCACCTCATCCCTCTACTCTGTTAGCCTGGAGAGTGGTAGGAGGAGAGCTCCCTTTCTGGACAGAGGTTGTTGTCAGGCGATTGCATCACTAACGCAATTAAGACTGCACTCCAAGCACTGAAAATGTTCAGAGGTAATCTTTATTGGTAAATTTACGTGGAAACCTGAGCATTCCCCTGAAATAATCATTTTTATTCAAGTGTAGTTACTTGTTTCTGGCCTTGGTCAGAATGGTGGAATATGGCAGCTCTTCATCCAAGTGACATTTTAAACAGGTGCAGAAACAGTGCTTATTGTATTGGTTTTCATTACAGAATTTAGCATATTTCTAGATCTGAAAATAGTTACTATGTCATTAAATATAATTTCGTTGGAAGAGGAGTGATATTAAGTATTTGATTTCCCTTCCTTTGCTTTCTTCAGTTACATGTTACAAACCACTCCAAAGTCCGCAAGTGAAAAGAACGTAAAGACAGGTAAAATTGGAACTGGAGTGTTCATTTGATGAAGGAATTGTAAGATTGCGCAAGGTTTTCAGGATGTAGCCCAGACCCCAAGTGATATTTCCGTGTCAGTTGTCAGAGATAGCAGGGATTATGTAAAGAATTTTGTTGAAGAATGCCATTCAGCTGCTGTCAAACAGAAGCACCAGAGAACGATTTTGCAAAGTATAAATGTAACCATTGTTTTCCTCCATTTTTTTGCTTTGGAAGCAATAATAATACCATTTCTGTTTGTGAAAGGGGCAAGGTGAAAACTTGAGCCTTTCATTTTGCTTGGGTGATACGCTTGGAAATTTTCTAGCCTGCAGCATTCATCAGTAGCAGATCCCTCAACGAAACAAAAGCAATGAAGGATGACAAAATGAGAATCTGCACGAAAGCATTCACTTGGACATGCAGTCAGTGGTTTAATGTCATGCCAGCTTTTCTAAATCTGTGTTCCTGCAGTACTTCTGAATACGAATCCAATTCAGAAGCACATGGTATATTTTGAGAGCATTTCTTCATCAAATTTTAATGTGCTGTTCTAACTACATCTCACTTGTTTTACCTACAAACTGTGAAGGACGTCCAACCCAGATGCTGAATATAGCTCAGAAGATACTAAGATATTAAGGATCTTGCCCTGCCATAAAATCTAACTTACAGAAGTGCAGTAGCATTACCTATTGCAAGCTCTGCCCTGTATAAAATTCAATAAAGATCTATTTTTTCTGAACACCCATTTCAGTTTTGTACTTAAAGTATTCTGCAAATGCCAGGCACTGGAAGCTGTCACTTGTTGAAAGACTGCTCACTTCTCTGGTTTCCTGACATGTGAGTCTTTGGGTCATGTAACCAGCACATGTGGCCATCACACAGCAGGGGACGGACTGTGCAGGGAGCTGCATAGGCAAATTTTTCTTCCTGCCAGACTCTTTTTGCACAAGACCTGACCAGTTTGGTCTGTGTGTGACACCCGATAGCTGCAGACAGGTCAGCCTTGGGGGGACAGAGTAGAGGAGTGTCAGGTGCTGTGCGTTTGTGAGGGCCACGTGTGATGCCTGGGACGCGGCATGTGTGCTTCGAGGAAAGTATTTTTCAAATTTAGGTGCTTCAATAAAACAAAAAGTTGGAACGAATCTGAATTGTGTGTATGTAAATTCTATTGTGTTATTCCTAGCCGAGAGAAGCCGTGTGAAAATGATGTAGGACCATGTTTTCTCTGTCAGTAAGGTTATGAAATGCCCTTAATGCAAAAGCATGGTCCAGCTCGTAAGAAACAAGAAGTACTGTTGTGCGTGTTTTTTCACATCAGTGGGGATGTGGCAGATACCTGCAAAGCAAATGAGCTTTAACATGCTTTACCAGATAACATGAGGAGAGCGCATTAAATTGTCGAGAGCTCATAAGGGTGGATGCATTTACCGCATTTCATGGAAGTTTACTAGAATAAAAGGTGGAGCCAGCTGCTGTGGGAGGTGGCGTGTAGCTAGATGTCTGGCAGAGTGGGGTGCTGGTACCTCTGTGTGTCAGTCAAGGCGGGTTATCACTAGCGTCACTCTTGTCACTTAGAAGTGGGAGATCAGTCAAGGAACCGCAGCATTGGCTGTCCCCCTGGATCCTTCTGCAGAATACCATTCTTAGTACCAAGAAGAAGTTGCTCTACAACAAATCTCGTTCCTCCAGCGTGAAGGGATGCTGCGTGGCATACCTTAGAGTCACAGACATAAACATCTCCTGTACTCCCTTCTGGATCTGGACTCACGGTGCTGGTGCTATTCGGGCAATCGTTGGTTCCCAGACTTGGCGTGGACTCGGTGAGAACACACAGAACGCACCCGCTGCCTCAGGACTGCTCTTGACTCACCGTGCGTACGTCTTGCAGTGTCCCGGTGCACCCTTAGAAGGTACTGCCCACGTGCGTTTAATTCGCACTGACAACTCTTCTGTTGTGTTAGATGTGCTTCAAAAGTATGTAATTTGGGGCGAAGTGCGATTGTGCAATCTGGTCTGCAGAGGGCAGAGCAACACCACCGAGTGTTGCAGCTCAGGCTCCTGCTTCGCCAACACGAGCTCGTACGACTTTTTTTCCTGGAATAATGAAGGTTTGCATTCAGCCGAGCTGGGCTTCTTGCGTTTATTTTCTAATGGTGTAATCATAAGTGGGGTAGCCAGATCTGCGGCAGCTCCACTTGATTTTTGCGTGACTTCATCCAAACATACCGAAACCATGTAACTCAAGTTTGCTTATTTTAGTGGCAAAACAGGGAGTATCGCCTACATTTAGCCTGGTTACACCACAGGTGAGTGATCTCTCTAACACTTCATTTTTTACCTGCTTCATTCTAACAGGAGAAATAGTTGAACAAAAAGTTTTAGTAGAGAAAACAGGAACAAGCAAGGCTGAGTAGCAC